GTTCTGATCATGCAGTTGATCCCTCAGTCACTCCTGAACTCAACCCAACTTCAGCCTCTCTTTAAAAACTCCCGCCAGGTGGCATTTCACTTTGGCAATCAGAATCTGGACGATCTTAGAAATCTCTACAAAGTCATGGGCACTGGTTTTGTGAGTAAATTTTACAACAGTTTTATTTTTTAAAAATCATAACAGTAATAAGTATTGAAATCTCTATGTAAGACGAAGGTACGGTTTGGGCTTTGCAGTGCCTTAAAAATTATTGTTTTTATTAAGATATGAATTTGGCTTTAATATGAGTTGAGTATATAAATATGATAAATCATTAAAGAATATGGCATGATGGTGGACCAAACTGGAAATATGACGTCATTAATTTTGTACATTTGTAAATTTTATGCAGAAAAGATTCAACAGGAGGTCGTATTGGAAAAAGATTTGTATGTTTTCCTTTTCAGGCTGGTTGTGTACATTTTCCAGCAGGAAGTCAGTGTGAAGTTCGAGTGCTTCTCTTATTATTTAGCAACAAAAGGAAAGCCTTTATAGGACTCATTCCAAATGATCAAACAGCCTTTGTTAATGGGATAAGGAATGTCATCTTCACACACAAAATGAGGGTTAGTATACTACATGTATATGCTATTCATGTTGTATTGTGTTGAGATTGTCATATAACCCTAATATAACATCCTATCCTATCCCTTCCTTTTCATTTGTAAATTTTTTCGAAGGTGGAGAAATACATTGGTGGAGAAATACATTGTTTATTTTACTGTCCATGCTAAGTACAATGACAGATTTGAACTCAGGATGGGTCATAACCCTATACTGTAAATATATTACATTTGGCGTGTACGAAATTTGGCGGAATTTCAATTTTCAACAAGTTAGCGTAAATTTGATTTAGCGCTGTCTGAATTTGCTAGTTATAAAAGATAATAGACAAGACATTTAGCGATATACTTGAATTAGTGGACTCTGCTTTCCGCCAAAATCGCTAAATAGAATACACCGCTAAATGTAATATGTTAAAAGTATTAATATACTTGTACCACGACTCTCATTAAAATTCTTTGAAGTTCAAGGTCACATGGATCGAAAGTCTAGAATGCAGGTGTAATAGTTTTAGTGCTTAGATTTTGAAGGAAACTCTGTATTTGACCATTGATTGTGACATAGCCTTGGCTAAGATATTAATCCCCTACTGATGAAACAGGAGGGGACTTTAGTTTTCTTTTCATCAGTCTATCCATCTGTCAGTCTGTCCTGCTTTGTTTTCTGCATTTTTTCTGAAACAATTGCAGATATTATGCTGCTTTTTGGTATGTAAGTCAACCTTGATGAGTTAATGATTAAGTTTGCAATTTGTTCCTATGCTGAAATGAAAATAAATAAGATTTTTGGAAAGACTTGAACCACATCTGGCCTTATAGGTCTGTTCTCCAGTTAAATGGAGGTAATCCTTATCTATGTTTTTGTTGTCATAGCAACAACAACAACAGAGACAAGACCAGCCACAGCAGATGCCACAACAACAACCATTTCCCGGTCAGCAGCAGCCAGGCATGGCCGCCCAGCCCATGCAGAATCCCCAGGGGGCCCAGTTTGGGGTATGTCATAGTCTACTTAATTTCAAATGAAATCTGTCAAATTATTTCAGACCAGTGCTAGCAGTGGTAAAAAGAGGATGTCAAGGTAAACACTGGGAGGTTTGTCAAATAAAGTGAATAATCTGGAGTTATCTCACTTGGATTGAATGTTATAAACCACTTTAATAAAAAGTTTTTGTGCTTTATGTGTATTGCTTTACCTTTACTTGCTAGGTACAGCAGATGCCTCAGGTTAGCATGCAGAACCCCATGATGACCCAGCAGCAGGCCAATATTGTAGGTACACGTTTCTCTGTAGGGCTGAGAAATATCCGTTATATTATCAAGAGTGTTCATTTTCTATAATCTCTGTAAATCTTTCTGTAGCAGAAGCAAATGCAGGCAACACAGTTAGCAAAGCAACAAGAACAACAAAAGTTACTAGGTAAGCAAAGGCCTAATGTCACATTCAGTATTAAAATTTTTTGCTTTAACTGTTATGACGTTGATACTAAATACGGTAGTAGAATGAATACAGTATACGATAATACGAGGGGTGATCAAAAAGTTCGCGAACTATCTCTATATCTACAAAACCACAATTCAGATTAGAATGAAATTCGGTACGCACATAGCCATACACAAGGTCTATAAATAGCATATGCTGAATAAAGTTTTTATCCTTGTTTGTGACGTCACAATGTTAAAATGACGTCACTATGTAGGTCACTTGTGACGAAAAATGGTTGTCTCAGTTGAACTCATTCAACAAACGACTTTACAATTTATTGTATATCTTAGAAATCCCTCTGCTGTATCATATACTGTAAATCACTTTTTATTCGCGAGAACTTTATTTTCGCGTAATTATGCGAGACTGTGTGCTCGCGAAAATTTAATTCTCGCGTATAAAAGTATTCCTTAAGATTATATAGAGCAATAACCACAATTCGTGAAAATTTTGTCTCGCTAATCAAGAGACAATGACTATCTCGCGAAAATAAGGTGTCGCGAAAATTTAGTGATTTACAGTAATAATTTGTACACAGTATATTAAGATAAATGAGTTCCTATAAATTCAATTAATGCTTGGATTGATCATTTTAAGGAAGCCTTAGGAAGGCAGATGGTTAAATATGATACTTATCATCTTGCCCAGTAAAAGCAAGTTTGAAAAGATATGTGTTTTTGATTAAGCAATTTGCTATCAAAGACCTCCAATTTACACTTTAAAAAATAATTAAATACTTGAACAATAATATAATCATCAAATACCTAAGATATTGTTTACTTTAGATTTTAAACACATAAGATATGATAAAAAGGAGGCACCCATTCTCTATCCACCTTGGATAAAGGTCTCTCCCGAGACAGAAAATTTGTGTTTTGATGGTCGCCATGCTTTTTTTTGGAAAGGATATTCTTATCCACCCATTCTGTTGCCGAGATTTGACCATTTTCAAGAAATAAACTGTTCTTGTCATAAAAATTAACTCACATGGAAAGAAATATACAACTATGAAAAATCTTTCAACTTTTGTGACAGAACGCTACGGAGGGGGTCACGTGACCGCCAATATCACGTGATTCAGGCATGCGCAGAACGGTGGTTGATGTGCATTAAAATTGGAGAGGATCAATCTAAAATATGATTAACATTGAAACCAAATAGTGTTTCTCTTATGGAAGTTATTTAATTAGTTCGCGAACTTTTTGATCACCCCTCGTAAGTTTGATGCTTTGTACTACATGTAATCCTTTTAATTGCAGCACAACAAAGACAGTTGCAGATGCAACAACAACAGAGGCAACTGCAAATGCAGCAACAAATGCAACAGCAGCAACAACAGCAACCTGGTCTCAATCAACAGCAACAACAGTTAACACAGCTCCTGATGCAGCAGGTATAAAAGGAAAATAAAGAGGAATTTAATTCTTAACTATTAACCAAACATTTCTGCATATTTATATGTCTTTGTGTTAGTAAGTGCTAGTAAAAAAGATATTTTGAATGGTATGTAAAAGTAAATATCTGTGTCATCATTGCAGCAGCAACAGGGCCAGAGACAACCCCAGATGATTATTCCTCATGGGGGGAGGGGACCAGTCCTACACCAAGGCCAGCAGCAGGTGATGGGAGGGGGGCAGGTGCTCCAGGGAAACATGCCCCAGATGGCTCAGCAGGGCCCTGCCACAGGACCCCAGGGCGCTAACATGTTTGACGACCTGGATATGAACTTCTTGAGCTAACACCTCAAAAGACTTCATGAAATCTTTGGTATTGATCTGATCATTGTGTTAGCTTTAGGGGAGTTATTACCCCTGGAATCAGGAATCTGGTTCTTAAAGCTTTTGTGCTTATAACTAATGTGATGTAGGTACACAGGCATACCTATACAAATGGATAGCTCAGCGAAGTTGGCATCTTTTTATTCTGTAATGGAAATTGTTGTAAATAATTGTTATGCAAAATAAAGTGCAATACGTCTTTCAAATTTTGTTTCTTCTTTTTATACAGCTAAATGTCTTACATTTAAACGTAAAAACATTATAGGCAAACATTCCATTCATTTTTTTTCAAATTTTGCTTGTTGGTATAGTATTTCAAGTGCAAACTTAAAGCTGAACAAATCATGTGCTGAACTATTTTTTAAGGGGTTATTTCATAGTTCTACTTTATTATGGAAAAATCCACCCCAAGCTTCTAACTTGTATCCAGATATTTTAAAATATTTGTCGAAACATAAAATCCAAGCAATATGCTGTAGAATTCGTCATTTTGGTGTTGTCAAAGATCTGGTTAGCTTACCTGAGACAAAGGCTCAAGTGAGCTTTTCTATCAGTTTTTCTGGTGTCTGTTTGTCTGTAAACATTTTACATTTTCGACTTCTCAAGAATTTACCAGTCTGCCAATTTCAACCAAACTTGCCAAATAGTTATCCTGGGAAAAGGGGATTCAAGTTTATACAAATGAAAGGTCACGCCCTCTTCCAAGGGGAGATAATTTCAAATTAGTGAAAAATTAATGGCATCTTTTATACTGAATCGATCATTCTCTGGTAGTGTAGATTCAAGTTTGTTCAAATCATGACCACCAGAGGTAGGTTGGGGCCAAAATGGACGATCAAAGTTTTACATAAGAATATATATAGAAAAATTTTCTTCTCAAGAACTACATGTAAAATGTCATGATTTGGTATATTTAAATGAAAGCATTTTCAGGTAGCATGACAATCTCCCATGCATGGGCCTTTTGTTTTAGTATTGGTTCACATGAAGGACATGAATTTGTGGGTCTCCACATACCAAGAATTAAAAATTAGAAAATGAAACGTCCCAAAGTTATTTCACAGCATATGCTGCAGCCAAATTTTTTTTCAGGAGAATTACAATGCATTTTTTCTATCTTTATGAAGTTTTATCCCATTTTTATCCCCTTTATCCCGTGGTGATGACTGTGATATTTTTTTATATCCCACAATTAAGTGCAGTTGTGACATCACAGTGGTTTTTGCGTTAGCGTGAGGAAGTAAAATAAAGTTGAGTCCTATGTATAAACAGTGTAATTCACTTGATGTGATTTTTAGCTCTACTGGTCAGAGACCAGAAGAGCTTATGCGATAGTAAGGTGTCCGTCGTCCGTCCGTCTGTCTGTTTTCGTCTGATTTTAATATAACTTGGCACACAAGTAGACTACACTAAGATACATAAAACAGTGCATTGGTTTTTGATTTCGATAAACGGTATTGCCATGGTTACTAAAAATAGAATTTTCTGTGAAATTCATTTAAAATGATACTCCTCCTACAGTTTTGGTCTGATTTCAATTTTACTTGGCACACAAGTAGACTACACTAAGATACATAGAATAGTGCATCGGTTTTTGATTTTAATGAACGGTGTTGCCATGGTTACTAAAAATAGAATTTTCTGTGAAATTCCTTTAAAACGCTACTCCTTCTACAGTTTTGGTCTGATTTCAATATTGCTTGGCACACAAGTAGAGTACACTGAGATACATAAAATGGTGCATCGGATTTGGATTTCGATGAATGGTGTTGCCATGGTTACAAAAAATAGAATTTTCTGTGAAATTCCTTTAAAACGCTACTCCTTCTACAGTTTTGGTCTGATTTCAATATTACTTGGCACACAAGTAGACTACACTAAGATACATAGAATAGTGCATCGGTTTTTGATTTTAATGAACGGTGTTGCCATGGTTACTAAAAAAAGAATTCTCTGTGAAATTCCTTTAAAACACTACTCCTTCTACAATTTTGGTCTGATTTCAATATTACTTGGCACACAAGTAGACTACACTGAGATACATAAAATAGTGCATCGGTTTTTGATTTTGGTGAACGGTATTGCCATGGTTACTAAAAATAGAATTTTCTGTGAAATTTCTTTAAAACGCTTCTCCTTCTACAGTTTTGGTCTGATTTCAATATTACTTGGCACACAAGTAGACTACACTGAGATACATAAAATGGTGCATCGGATTTCGATTTCGATGAACGGTATTGCCATGGTTACTAAAGATAGAATTTTCTGTGAAATTCCTTAAAAACGCTACTCCTTCTACAGTTTTGGTCTGATTTCAATATAACTTGGCACACAAGTAGACTACACTAAGATACATAAAATAGTGCATCGGTTTTTGATTTCGATGAACAGTGTTGCCATTGTTACTAAAAGTAGAAATGTCTGTGAAATTACTTTAAAACGCTACTCCTTCTACAGTTTTGGTCTGATGGCAATGGCTTCTTTTCTCATCCTTTGTTATATGTACAAACCAGTAGAGCTACAGTCTCGACAGAGACTTCTGGTTAAACATGGGATAAAAAGAATCTCGCCATGGTTCTGGGATAGAAAAACACAACTGGTTGGATAAAAATCATATCCAACCACAAATCATGGGAGATCCTATATTTAATCAGTGAGGACCTGAAGCATTTGGCCTTTTATTCTAACAGTAAACATGAATCTGTGTTGTATCCTTCTCTTATTTGTGTATTAAGGATGTTGAAAGTGAGGCTGCTGTTTTCTAACTAGAGAATGGAGAATGACAAGGCTCTGGACTTCAGACTGACATTAGTTCTGTATAAAACGTCACACCACTGTCATTTTAGGGAGTCTGGGTAATTTTGGACATACACTGATGTATAAAAGTCAAAACATAATACTTAGAAATATTTATTTTCTCATAAAAGAAATACAATAAGTAGTTAGTGATAAAATCATATTGCGTCTCTAAAATATTTTTTTTGAAAAAATTCAAAGACTTTTAAAAATGCAATTATTAAATTGTATTTATTTGGTCATAAAAGAAATACAATAAGTAGTTAGTGTGATAAAATCATACTGCTGTCTCTAAAATATTTTTTTAAAAATTAAAAGACTTTTTAAAATGCAATAAAATCAAATAGATGGGACACAAAATGATCAATACAGATAAAATCACATTAATTTAACACTACCCTGTAAGGTTATCTTTACTTACGGAATCACTCAAAAATATATCACAAGATATCCAGTAAAAATACATCATATACGTACATCTATTAAAATGTACATCATTTCAAAACAAATACAGATCATATAAAATTAGGTATTTTAAAACAAAAAACATTAATAAATCAATGATATTTAAGAAGAATCACAGGGAAAAAAATCTGAATACTGTAATTATCCCGCTAACACATGAACTTGTACCAAACACTGATATGTTTTACAAAGAGGAGGAAGGAGAAGATAATTCTTATGATCAAGTTATGGTTGTTCATGTTCACAGCTTGCTAGAGTCCTTATCTAGTCAGCTAGCTTGTTTCTGGGTCAGCAGCTCAGCAATCTTGTCAATGAACTCAAATGTGTTCAGGTAATCTGATCTTTGGACACTGAAATAAAA